AGCAGATCTGCACTCCACCCTCTTCATAAATGATGAGCAGTTATTACTGCCACACAACTTAGTGCTTACATCTAGACCTACTCACTATATTCCTATGCATTCATTTTATCACCACAGTAGAACATAAGTACATAAAGGACAAAGTCTTCTCTTTTCCCCCCTGTATCCTAAACAAAGCTCAGGCTCATGACCAATAAATAAATTATTAGTAAACCAGTGTGGTAGTGCATGCCTGTAATTCCAGCACTCTGGGAGGCTGAGGTAGGCATATTACAAATTTGAATCCAGTCTGGGCAACTTAGCAACTTAGAGAGGCCCTATCTCAAAATAAAGTAGAAAAGGGTGGGGGATGTAGCTTCATATGTAAAGAGGTATAATCTCTAGGAGTGGAAAAGAGCTCTGAACTTTAAAATACACAGATAAGCAGCAGTGAGTTTATGTTCAGGAGAAGTCAGTACTGCTTCACAGGAAAGAGCACTGACAGCACCTTGCCTTGTAACAGCCGGTGCATTCATTAGCTCCTCCACCTTCAGCACGACCCCAGGCCTCAGGCAACACTTCCTGGTCACTATCAGGTACCGAGAACAGACACTGGGAAGTATCCTGGGAAGTCTCCAGACACTTCCAGAGAGGAGCTGCCCCATGTCCTGCCAGTTATGTTGGGGCTCCAGAGTGGAAGGGATCAATATCTTAGAACCTCACAATGCATGTGGGAAACTATGACCCAAAGAAGGCGGCAAGTGGCAGAGTAGGGATTTGAACCAAGGTCTGTGTGATGGTGAGCCCCTCTCCCCACCACTCCTAAAAGTTGCTGCAGGCTGGGGTTTCTGCAGTCATCTCCTTTCTTCTTCATACATAACAAGGGCTTATTGAAAACATCAGCTTTTCTATGTCAAGGAATGGACTGCTGAGGCTTGGGCCAGGGAGTGAGAGCTTACAGACCTAGGAGGGACTGTCCCAGCCACACTGTGTAGGAGGCAGGGACCAGGGGAAGTGGGGTTGCAAGCAGTTGTTACACCACCCTTCCTCACTGGGAAATGCAAACTGAGTACCCTTATCCAAGCTATGTGGGACCAAGAGTTTCAGATTTTGGATTTTTTCAGGTTTGAGGATATTTGCATACACATAGTGAAGTATCTTGAGACAGGATCCAGATCTAAGCACTCAATTCATTTACGTTTCACAACACCTTACACACATAGCCCGACGATCATTTTATACATATTTGCAATGTTTGTGCATTCTGACTGTGACACGTCAGGAGTCCAGGTGTGGAACAGTCCACTTGGGGTGCCATGTGGTTCTCGAGCAGTCCAATTCTAGAGCATTTCTGGATTACGAATGCACAACTCCATGCTGGAGTTCTTTATTTAACAAAGAAGACTTTTGTATTTTGCCTTCCAAAGGGTTTTTCTGTCAATACTTCAAAACAGTTTAGAATGACTGCAGAGGACAAAGGAATACCTACAAAACACTGGGAATGTGCTGGGGGTGTCTCTAACCTTGGTCCCTCAGCTGGAGAAACCACAAGGAGGAATTTGGGATTTGAAAAGATGCACGTTCCAATTCCAACTTCTTTATTTACTAGCTTCTTTGAGTACATTCCATGACCTTCCTGCACCTGTTTCCTCAGCTATAAAATGGGAATGGACAATAATAGTTCCTTTGAGAATTACTGTGAAAATTGGAGATAAAGCACGTAAGAGATGCATCTTCCAAGCAATACCTTAGTACCATGCTTACCTAGCATGCATGAGGCTCTGGGTTCAATTCCCAGCAGTGGATGATAAAAAAGCATGTAAGATACTTTGTCTAATGCTAGTATAGAGAAGAATCTCAATAAACAATGAGTCTGAATGTCAGGCCCCACTTTTCTGACTGAGGATACCAATGCATAGGCTCTTCCAAGTAATTTCTCCTGTGACAACTACAAATAGTCTCTCACTTGTAGGCAAGATAAAGCACATTAAGTATGTACATTAAGTATGTACTTATGTGTTTGCATATGCTCTTATTCTTGACCAGAGTTAGGTAACCAATACCTCAGCTGCATCCAAGAAGCTTTACATAGAACCTGTGCCTTCTGCTCACCTTCTGATCTTGGATGCTGACTAAAGACATTCCCAAGCCCTCAAGTCAGCCTTCAGGGCTTCCCAAACTAAGGAACCCATGGCCAAATGGAGGAGGGCAGAGAGCTTCCTGGACTGAGCAGGTTCATCAACAAGCATCATTGAGTAGCTGTCACATTCTACACCTCCCTTCCCCTCCCCCTCCTCGGCTTCTAGCCCACCACCCAGGCCTGTGCATTTTACCCCAAAAATATCTCTAAGTCTTCCCACTTCCCCCATCTCCAGCCCAGTTTCTCACCTCGACTATTCCCAGTTTTTCAGAAGCTGGCAAAAATTCTGCAATGCCACTCAGTTCTTAGGCCCTTTCTAATCTGTTTCTGCAGTAAGAAGGAACCTCCCTTCAACACTTTCATGCCTCCATCACCTCTCTACCTTTAGACCAAAGGAAAACTTCCTCGGCTTACACTGCCAATGACTCCCTGCAAGATGACTTGCCTTCTATCTTGAGCCACCCGGCTGCCCTGGCCCCCTCCAGTCCCACCAGCCCTTCAGTCCTGGCCCCTTCAAGTGCCACTTTCTTGGGGACACCTCTCCACCCCAGAATAAGATCTCATAGCCCTGGGTCCTCTCCTCAGTCACACTTATAAGTGGGAGTGTCCATTTATAATTAATTAATGGTTTTTTCTCTTCTTCAAAATACAGTCACTAACTACTTATGGATGGATTGTGTGATTGTGTGCACCTAACACATATTTAACATCTCTGCTACTGGGGAATCAAAAAATCCAAAGCCCAATGCAGCCCTGGCTCACAGGAACCAAGAGACCTGATGGAACACCCTTACACAAAGCCAAGAGGAAGGTGGCCAAGAGACAGGGAGTTCAAGAGAAGACTGAATTCCCAAGGAAGGAATGGTCTATGGAGGGCTTGGGAGGAGGTGGCCCAGGTCCTGAAGGAGTGGGCAGAATTTACACAACACATCAAAGGCCTGTCCGTGTCAGGACCCAACTGCCTAGACCAACAAGAAAGGTAACGCTGGACAGAGGTAGGGTGTGGACAACCATGGATGGGCCTCAAATGACAGGAGTCTGGATTTTGGCTTTTAAAAGTAAAGAACAAATTAAAGCTTTAGAAAAGGAGAAAGAACTGGGGAGCAGTAATTTTGGGGACTAAGCCACACACATACATACACATCCCTATCTATAAAGCCAAACATAAATTCCATCTGGCAATCTCCTTCCAAGCCCATAGAACAGACGGAGACTACTCTGAGCTAGAGATAGGAGGCAAAGGCCATGCGTGGACACAATCTTTCTGAAGGAAACCAGAATGTCTCTGGCTAAGCTGACTTTCAGAAGTGCTAGGCTGTCTGGAAGCAGCCCCACCCAGGTTTATGTGGGGCCATTGATCAAGCTGGCTCTTCTGTCTTATTGGTAGGACCCTGACTATACTATAATCGGGACAAACTTGAGACAGTTACACTCCTAAAGCCTTCTCACTCTTAGGGTGTGCTGAAATCCCAGTTTTCAAGTTGGGCGTGTGAATGTTACTACCTGTGGAGCCATATGCTACCAGCCAGTTCCAGTCCCCACATTCCTCCAGGGGTCCCAGCACGCACTTGAGGCATGGCCCAAGGTACCTTCCAACTAAAGGACATAGGAGGCGACTGGACTGGCCCTCTGTGTGGCCCTCTCTGCTGCTCCCATGCAGTGGTGAGGAGTCTGCCGGCCCCTCAGGCTATGAAGGTGCTCAACAGTCCTTGACTAAAACTGGTGCTTCCTTCAAGGACTTGAATTGGTGGATTTGAATTTCACATCAGGAACTTAATTTTAGCTCTTTGATGAGTGAGGGGTCTCTAGAGCAATAGTTTCCAAATTGGGTATGTGTTCTCCACGTATTACCCCAGGCTGCGATCCAAAATAATAAATAAAAGTGAGCTTTCATGTGGCACTCTCCTCTGATCATTCATCACAGGCAATGTGCACATCTGGTACTCAAGGTACCCAAAGGCATCCCACAAGGAGGAGGGTGGATAGGCGCTTGGAGTTGCCCCAGGTTACATGCCTACATAGGTGGGATTATAGATCAGATCATGCAATTTTGGTAAAATAACTTGTACAATGAACTAGTGCCTTAAAGAGATTTCTGCAGAGAGTTTTAGACCCTCTGACACCTGTGCAAACCAAATATGGGCGAACTCAGACCTCTAATGTGAGAAAGTTTTATCAGATACAGAAGGACCAAACAGGAAGGTTCTAATCAGATGGAAAAAGAAATCAGTCCAAATCATTCAAAATTATAAAAATTACCTACACTGTGAATTTTTAACCCGGGGCCTTTTCCCTAAGCTACAACCCCACTCTTCTTTGGTTTTTGAGACAAGATCTCCCTAAATTGCCTAGACTGGGCTCCAGCTTCGGATCCTCCACCTCAGTCTTCTGAATAGCTGGAATTACAGGTGTGTACAAACCGACATCCATTATCTTTAAAAATAGATAATTCTCACTTTCATGAGGATCTGTGTATTTTGCATAGTACAGTAGTACAAACAATACTGAGAGGGATCGTAATTAGCAGATATTTAAATTATTATTATTTTTTTGGTACCGGGGATCGAACTATGAAATATTTTAAATAAATGTTTAAAAGTGTTTTGTGAGATATTTCATTACTGTCATCCTCTTACGTTTTTCTATTTATTTTCTAGGCTTTATAACACATCCCAGTATACAATGTATTCGTGCGTGATCTTCTGATGTAAGCAAAATCCTATGATCTAAAACATGTAATTGGGACTGAGAGTTTTTGGGGTTTTTTACTATTTAAGTGCCATGCTTAGAAAAGCTTAGAAAGTCAGCTTAGCACGCCTGAAGCCCCTGCCCAGCCTCCTTTCTCAAGCCTCCCAGGCCACAGGGTAGGGGAGCTCCCTACCTGATTGTGCCAGCGGATGACATTTCCGAATCCCCCTGTCCCCAGCCGTTCTTTCATTTCCCAGGCCCCACATGTCTGCGTCGGCAGGGAAGGTGACCAGCTCATACTGACGACTGCTAACTCTACAAGCAACGTGGGAGAGGGGAGAAGAGATTAAGAGACACAAGTGGGGTCCACAGGTGGACGACAGAACCTCTGCTCTTCACGAGAGAGCGGAAGCACCGAAACAGGCCTCATCCCGAGCCAGGCCGGCAGCTGACCGGCCTCCCTGCCCCGCGGCCGCGAGAGCAGGCGGGAGGGTCTCGCCCAGGGCTCAGCCCACGCCCCCCATCCCGGAGGGCACCCAGCTCCCGCCCACGGCCGCAAGTCCGCAGCGTGCAGTGGCGGGGCTTCCTGCGCCCCTGCAGGACGCGTCCGCGCCCGGAGCCCCGACTTCCAGCGCACCCTTTTCTGGGCGCCGCAGGAAATAGGGCCCAGGCCGGGCGCGGGCACTCACCGGCGGCCGGAGGGCCTTGGCGGCGGCGCCCGGACCGGACCGGACCGCGAGGGCGCGAACACTTCCTGCTCTGACGTCATGGGCGCGGCCCGGCTCTTAAAGGGGCACCGCCCGCCCCGCGGGGACCGCCCGGCCATCGACCGGGATCCCGCATCGGGGGTCGGAGACACCTCATCGAGGTGAACGCCCGGAGTGAGCCCCACAGGCATGCGGACCCCAGCCCGCGGCTGCCGGGGCGGCCTAGGGACGTCCTCCTGCCCAGCGCTGTCCCCGACGCGGAATTCCCCGCGGGGAGGGAGGCTGTGTGTCGGGCCCGTGCGCCGAGGCCCACGGGTCCTCTGGGTTAGGCCAGCCTGGGGCGCAGAGGAGCCGGAGGGAGAGTGGAGCGATCTCCCGAAGTCAGCAGTCTATTGGGCATTTATCACACTCGCTAGGAGACCACGGGGCACCCTCCAGGGCACGAGCGAGGAAGCTGGAGGGCACTGGGGCCACCGTGAGAACAGGCCCAGGACAGCCGCATCTGACCGCAGGGACTCCACAGGCAGCCGCGACGCTCTGCGGGGAGCAGGCGGGAAGAGCCCACCAGCCCAGAGCCCCAGAGGCTTCGATTTTTATGCCGTGGAGTTTGATACAAACCAGTGCCAATCTTACGGTGGCGGACAAATAATGTGTGCTAATCCTGTGGTGGTAAAAATATTTTTCTTTGTGATATAAATATATATTTTTAGAAAACATTTTTATTAGTTTCTCAAAAGGTCTCACAAGATAAGTTTTATAGCACGCAGCCGTATTGTTACAAGCTAGCGCACAAGCACACCACCGGTCCTATGATTATCACAAGACTCAAAGTAAGTTTAGAATCAGACAGAAGCATAAGATAATTTGGGGTCGGAGAAGATCAGTCACAGAAGTGGCAGCCCCCCCCGCAAAAAAGAAAAAACATATGGAGCAATGGCAAGCTACACTGGAGTCTCAGCTCCAGCCCCGCAGGAAGTCATGGGACAGCCCCATCTGAGAAGCACATGCCTCTCCTGCACCTCTGCTACAAATAGCAAAAGCTTCCCTGCTGAGTTTCCCAGGGGTGTGTGTGTGTGTGTATACACACAAAAGTATTAAAAGAAACCTGGAGATTATAAAACTTGTTTGTGAAGTGCTTACTTTGTGCCAGGCATTATCCTAAACTCTACTCAGAGTTCTCGGTTCAATCCTCAGGACAGTCCTACAAATTGAACACTACCAGACCATCGTTATTGTTACTCCATTTTTCTAATGAGAAAATTGTGAAGAGCAAGGGAATGCCTTTATCCTTCAGTCACAGAGCTGCTAAGTAGATGAGCTGAATTTCAAACCCAGGGAGCTGATTCCCAGGCCCAGGTTCTTAATATTTGGTTGAAAGTACCATGCCAAGAAGTTCACAAGGAGACAAACGTAATTTCTGAATCCAGATCCTATTATGGGCTGCCTGTCAGGACAAGTTACTTAACCACTCAAATAATTCATTTCCTCTTCTTAAAATCTGGGCAGTATTAGGTTGAATTACATGAAACTCTCATTTACTGTAGAAATCAAAAACAGTCTAACAAAGATTAGCAATTTATCTGGGTGAAACTAACAGCAGCAGGACAGGAGAGCGGGTAAGTCATCAAAGGAGACCAGCAGAGTGGTGAGGGACAAGCAGGATGCTGGTAGGAGGACAGGGGGCTCTCCTGCCCAAACAGCCCAAGTTAACTGAGTAATGCGTCAGAAGCAGGTGCTGGTTCTGTGTGTGTGCCAGCGTTGCTGGGAATTGAACCCAAGGCCCTGTGCATGCTGAGCTTGTGCTCTATCACTGAGCCACAGCCCTGACCCCTGCTTAGCATTTCTTGATCAATCTGTAGTTGCAGCTAAAGTGCACACTCAGCATCAAAGCATGAGGAAAAAGAAATAGGAGTCCATAGTCAGAAAACATTGAGAATAGTGCTTGGCAGAGTATAAGTGCACTGTGTTTGTTTAATAAATTTTAAAATATTACTGAGCACTTGTACGTGCTGAGCACTCTGTAGAGTCTGTTTCCTATTTGATGCCCTCAAAGGTTTTTCTTTAATCCTATCGCCTCTCAAAATTACTATTCTGTAAAACACTGAGACATCCACCGATAGGCTAGAGGCTAATTCTACACCACTCTAACTTGAGCTCTCATTTTGTTTAGCTCAAAATAACTTGGTTTTCAACTGATCATAAATCTCTCTGATATGATTGTATATTAATAGGCTTTATTTTTTAAAAAATTAATGATGGCTCAGGGAAGAAGCCTCTGGATTTTATGGTATTCCACCCAAGATATTTATCATCTTAAGCCCTTCCCCATAGATAAGACATTTCCAGATCTCTGCCACGTCTGGTCTCTGCCCTGTTCTGGATATGTGAACAGTCTGTTGACAGAAATTTCTTGATTACCTGAGGGTCACAGCTCAGTAGCACACTCAGCCTCAAAGCATGAAGAAAACAACACTTTTTTTCCTGCATCTGAAAAATATCTGTCAACAGACTGTTGCGCCAGGCTGCAACTCTACATATCAGTGACTCCTGGCATCCAAGAAACACAACTCAACATTGAGGCACTTAGAATCCTACTGGGATTCCATGGACCATGGAGCAGGAGAGAAAGGCCCAGGCAATGTAAAATTGGGTGCCCATTTGTTCAGTTGTAGAGACAATACAGCGCCAGTGATAAGAATAAAGTGCCTAAGCATCATGCATTTTAAAATGAAATCTTGTTCCTAGAGGAAGTCAGAGACAACTATCCTCTTTCTCAGTCTTGAAGGTCATCAACTGATTAAATCTTCTGTCTCCCCTAATAGCAGCCAAGCAAAGCAGTGCTGAGCTGCTCTGCTTGAGGAAAGGACTGTTATTCCTGCACCCATATCAAAGACAGGAAGCAAAGAGGATAGAACACTCTTTTCCCAGCTCCCAGAGTCAGCTGTGGTTCTGTGATTTCAACTCTTTCACTAGCTTTCCAAGAATGTTTATCCTAGCCTGCAGAGAGAGGACTCTGCAAGTCAGGTCTTGCTCCTTCAACAAATATTCCTCTGCCGGGAAAGTTGGAAGAACTTGTTTAGTTGGAGGGCATGAAGAAATCTGCCTTTCTTTCTGGGAGTTGGTGGGAGAAGGTGTGGGCTGGTGGAGTCTGGTGGTGACAGTGAGCCTTGACTCAGCCCATAACTCAGCACCGAGCCCTGCAGAGAGGAAAGAAAGAAAGAGTGGCCAGCTTCTAAGGAGGTGCTCAGCCAACAGTAAAACCTCAAGAGGAGTTGGGTCTCAAATGGGATCAAATACTGAAAGCCAAGAATTTGGGGCCCTGAGTCACCCTCCTTGGAGGAATGATAGCTTGGGAGAGGAAGTCACTTGAGAAACTCCCTTTACTTTTACACATTTTTATTCCAGTAAATTCAAATCAAAGAGGAAGAAATCACGAAAGGACAACTACCTAACCCTTATCGAGGGAGGAGGCATATATGTTTATACTGCTCAGCAGGTGTATTTCTTAGCTTAGCTCAGTTCTGAGCACTTGCTTTTGCTCCCTGGGAACAAAGATTCTGTGCACTGCTGCATCTCTAGTGCTGAGCACATCATGAGTGTTCAATTACATTTTTACTGGATGAATGATGGAATTAGCCAATGCAAAGATTGGTGGTTCTGCACTCTAGCTTTTGGTTATACTTTACATGATCTCTTGAGTTTAAGACATGGAATCCAACCCAGAATCTGCTCTCTTTGGATCTGTGAACCCGAGAAGTTTACTGAACCTCACTGAGCCTCAGTTTTCGATTCTGTAAAATGGAGGCTAATAAAACCTACTTATGATTATATAGTTTGAGAGAGAGGGAGTGTGTGTGTGGTGCTGAGGGGCACTAAGGATTGAACCCAGAGCTTTGTGCATGAAACACTGCCATTGAGCAACACTGCCAGCCCTGCAAAAACCTATAGTCAGCTGAGATCCCCATCCTTTGGGATTGAAGCAAAATGTGTTCAGGTATCCCCCTCCTTTCCCTTGAAGTTCAAGGTCTCTGACTTCTACCTTTCCTACCTCACTAGGAGCTTGAAGTCTGAGATGGGGTAGCTGCTGTCAGGGAGACAAGTGGTATGTTTCTTACTTACATCGGACTCAGAGTTCCTTCTTTTGCTAAATTCTTAATTGCCCTTTCTAAATGGATCCTCCTCCCCACAACTGGCTTATTTTGTCACCACTCTGTTCTGATGGCTCATAGCTCTTATCCTTAACTTTAATACTATATTTGTCCCTTGTTTACTGCCCATCTCCCTCAATACTGTCAGCTCCCTGCTGTGTATTTTGTGCCCAACTGTGTAAGTGTTGCTTCATGCTGGTTCTCACAATAACAATATTCACTGCTGAATAGTAGGTGCCTCCTATGGTTTTGGTAAGTGTCCTCCAAGGCACATGGGTTAAAGACCTGGTCCGTAGTCATGGGACCTCGAAGAGCTGGGTGGAACAAGAGATTTTCCAATCACCAGGGTGTGCCCTTGAAGGGACCTAGGCTTTTTCCTGTCTTTTTGCTTCCTGGACAGCATAAAGTGAGCAGCTCTGCTTCCACAGCTCCCGTCCACGTGAGCCAGGTCACCCAGGCCCAGGGCAACAAGGACACCTCTGAAATCATGAACCAGAGCAAATGCATTTCATGTAAGTTGTTTATTGCAAGTATTTTGTCACAGTGATGAAAAGTTAACAATGCTCTAAATTACTTAAGGGGCGATTTGATCTGTTAATGGATCATTTTACTATCTAAGATTGGTGGATCCTGCTCCTTCTACCCAGAGGCAGAAGTCAGTCCTTTTCCATGATCTCAACTAATGAGACTTGGTGTTTGACAGACTCGCATAACATCGTGGAGAGGTGGGAGGATTGACATCACAGTGCTACAAACCATCAGAAATTAAACATCAGATGACTTCTCTTCCAAGTCCCCATCCCATGAGCCCCTCTGCAGCCCCATCCACCCCTCCCATCTCCTGCCCAGCTACTCAGGCCACTTGCACTTTAATAAGCAACCAGATCTCTCCTGTTTCTCCTGCAGAACAGCCAGCTCTCCTTAGCCCCTGAGAACATGCTTCCTTGAGGTCTAAGGTGGCAGCCCGGCAGCCACAGATTCGTTCAGAATGCCAGGCCTGATCTGTAGGGGCCTTGTTCATCGGCTGATGGCTAAGGTCCTGGCCTCCCAGGGGATAGGAAGCCCCTCCTCCTTCTCAGGCTGATACAACCCACCCCAAACCAGCTGGGTACTCCTTTAGCACCTTTCCTTTTTGTGACCAAAGCCCTGGACAGTGTCTGGTTTCTTTGTGTGCCCTAGCCACCACTCTTTGAAATTCCTGTCAAAACCCAATGATGTTCTTCACAGAAATAGGAAAAACCTCCTAAAATTTATATAGAACTACTAAAATTTTAGTAGCTTGAACAAAATAAACAAAACAGGGGGCATGATGGTACCTGACTTCAAAATACACTACCAAGCTATAGTAATCAAAACAGCATGGTATTGGGGGGAAATAGACATAGATAGATGGAATAGAATAACAAACCTGGAAATAACCCCACATATTTTCAACTAATGGATTTTTGACAGCAACTGCAAGAATATACATTGGAAAAGGAAAATCTCTTCAATAAATGGTGCTGGGAAAAGTGGATATTCATATACAGAAAAAAGAATCTAGTCTCTGATCGCTCATCCTCTACAAAAATCTATTTAAGAAATAAATTAGTAAATAGCTAGGAATAAATTTAGTCAAGGAAGTGAATGATCTCTACAATGAAAATTACAAAATACTGATGATAGAAATTGAAGAAGACATGAAAAAAATGAAAAGACATTTATTGTTAAAATGTGCATACTACCCAAAGCATTCTACAGATTCAAGGGAATTCTTAACAATTCAAAGTGGATAAAAGACTTAAATGTTGACCCCAAACTATGAAATTACTAAAAGAAAACAAGAAGGAAATTTTTTAGAACATTGGTCTAGGCAAAGATTTTTTTTAAAGATTTTTTTAAAAATATGACCCTCAAAAGACAGGCAAACAAAAGAAAAAAATGACAAACAGGATTGCCTCAACTAAAAAGACCTTCTGTACAGCACAGGAAACAATCCACATTTGTAGAGTGAGAAGAACCACTGAAACTATTCATCCAACAAGGAATTAATTTCCAGGATAAATAAGGAACTTGAAAACTCAACAGCAAAAAATAAATCAATATAATAATAATGGTAATTTTTAAAAACAAAAAAAACCTTCAAAACAAAACATTCACCAAAATAATCCAATTTTTACATGTGCAAATTGACCTGAATAGACTTTTCTCCAAAGAGGCTATACAAATGGCCAAAAAAGCATGTAAAAAAATAATCAACATCACTAATCCATAGAAAAATGCAGATCAAAACCACAATGAGATACCATTTACCCCAATGAGAATAGTTATTATCTAAAAGACAGAAAGCTCTGCCAAGGACACAGAAAAGGAACTCTCAGCCACCATTAGTGGGAATGCAAACATTCTACCCCCCAAAAGCTCATTCATTTGAAACTTAATTCCCAAATTATGTTTGCATTAATAATATTTGGAGGTGAGGTCTTTGGGGCAGTATACTGGGGCTGTGCAGGAGGAAGAGAGACCCACACAAGTACTTTCTCTGTTGTTGCTAGGTGCTCCACCATGTTATGCTCAGCAAGAAGGTCCTCACCGGAAGCTGACCAGACGCTGGAGACCTGCTCTTGAATTTCCAGTCTGCAGAGCCATGAGCTAAATAAATGTCTATTCTTTAGAAATTACTTGGCAGTATTTTTTTTATAGCAACAAAAACAGACTAAGACGGTAGTTCATTAAGGAAAAAAAGTTTCCTGCTCATGGTGGCACATACCTTTGGTCCCGTATACTCAGGAGGCTGAAGCAGGAGGACTGCAAGTTTGAACCCAGTCCTGCAACTTCATGAGACTCTGTCTTAAATAAAAATAAAACCAATGTTTTAGAAATGACTAAAGATATTTGTTTGTTATTGTTGTTGTTGTTGTTGTTTTCAAATGGCCTTTCCCCCTTATAATAAAAATTTGCCTTTCGGCCGGGAATTTAGCTCAGTGGTGCTGCTGCCTATCCCGCAAGTGCAAGGTCCTGAGTTCCATCCCCAGTACCAACAAAACAAAAAACAAAAATTTACCTTTCAACGAGATGCCTGTCAGATCTCAGAGAAAACAAGGTAGATAAAGAAAAAAGAAAGAAAACAATTCAGAAAATGGACTTCTCAAAGTACAGAGAAAGGACTTATGTTTTCCCCAAGAAGAGTTTGGGGACACACGATCAAAGGGCGAGCTTAGGCAGTGCCTGAGAAGACTCCGAGCAGCTGACTCAATGTATCCAGAGGACTTCTGAGTGGGTAAAATGCCAGCCCAATTCTCATTACTTCTTGTCGTTTTTACCCTCAGGTAGTTGCTCCTGGGAGATCTGAGTCTGTTGAGAACAGGGACGATCAATGTTCAAGGGGTTCAGGGACTGGCGAGAGAAGGGAAAAGCCTGGCTAGGTGGGCAGAGCAATGGAGAAAGTGGAGGCTTGAACAGGGCAAAGTCAGGACTCAAGAGAGATGAAGACAGAAGGCGGCAAAAGAAGGAGGAAGGGCAGAAGATTTGGGAAACAGAGGACTTGAGGGAGGCGGTTTGGGGAGATTTTAGTATTTGGGAAAAGCCAGTGAGGTTCCAGGGCACCGGAGAAGTCCTGGTTCAGAATTCGTGGCCTCACTCATTGGCGGATTTTGCCTTAGAACTTAAGTAATAATTGTTCGCGGAAAGCCTTGCAATTACGTGAAAACCGCAACTATCCCCCGCATTTTTTTTTTTTTTTGGATGGGAAGTTTGCAAGTAGCCAATCCCAGAGCATTAGTCAATTCTCCTTGCTGCTGATTGGCTGCTGCCCTGTAACCCATCTGCTGCGGATACACCAGCCTTTCCTCGTCAAAATAGGTTATCTCCAGTGTTCCCAGGTTTGTTCTTTTTAAAGCCCTAAGAGCCCTAACATGCCGCCAAAACACCCTACACCTTCTAAGGCTTCTGGCAGTGAACCTAAGTGCCGGAAGAAGTTTAAGACACTCCAGGAGGTTGAACTACTTACTGGATTTGCTCCAGGAACTAAAAAATTATTTTAGTTGAAAATGAATTAAATTCTGACCATATCTAAGTTTTTCTGACCATATCTCAAATTTCAGGTAGGGGGCCGGAGATTTAGCTCAGTGGTTCCACCGCCTGACATGCCAGCTCAAGGTCCTGAGTTCAATCCCCAGTACTGAATACAAAAAACAAACAAACAAAATTTCAGGGGTATACTGGGCAATTTAGTGAGACCCTGTCTCAAAATAAAGTTAAAAAGGCTGAGAGTGTAGCTCAGTAGTAGAGCACTTGCTTAACATGTATGAGACCCTGAGTTCTCTCCCTAGCACTGGGGGAAGGGAGGGCGGGCTTGGTAGCTTAGGTGTGTTGTTCCTTCACATGATTGTCTTACAAATGAGCAATAAAGGTTATTTGCTGGCAGCCCCAGGAACCTGGGGATATTTTGTGGCCCTTGGGAGAAGAGGAATTCACCTACACCTACAAGTATTGCTGGCAAAGACTGGATAAGCTAGACAAATTCCCAGCTTAGCTTCCTACCCTTCAGAGGCTTTTAATGTCTAAGCTAAAATTCTTTATTAAAGTTCTAACACAGCAGCGCTAAAAAGAGCTTATATGGTTAATCACTTGTTTAACTTACGTAGTAATCAGGCCTAGTTTAATGAGTCTAAATTTATGCAAACAAATTAATCTTACATCTATTATATTAGTAGAAATATGATGGGGCCGGGGATTTAGCTCAGTGGTTTCGCTGCCTGCTGCGCAAGCGCAAGGACCCGAGTTCGATCTCTGGTACCAAAAAAAAAAAAAGAAAGGAAAAGAAATATGATGACTTTAGAAAGATTATGTTTTAATGGGAAACTCTAGTATACCTATAATTAGATTCTAGTCAGTTTGTTGTCTTCGGAGTTTTGTTATTTATCTGCAAACTGTGCTGAGTCCTTAATTATTCTAGCCTTCTTCCATATTTGGCTATGACTCTCCAACATTCTGAAACAATCTCACTTGGGATCACCAAGAACAAAACCCATCCTTTTCATTAAGCCCAAGAGGCTGAATCTGAACAAATTGGTATATCCTTCAGAGAAATCACCAGAGCTCACATATGGCTCTTTCTGCATGGGCCATCCAGAGAGTTTTCCAAAACACCCAATGACATTACCAGGAACTTCAAACTGCAGAAGATGCTTTCAACTCATCATTTAGAAATTTTGATGGGCAGACTCCAGACTCAGAAACTGGATTTATATTCTGTTCCAATTGTTTTTTGCTTTTCATAGCAATGCCTCTTGTTAAATGATGGATAATTCTAGATAGAAATCTAGCTTAGTGGAAGCCCACCTGCAGCAGCATCTCTTTTTTGGGAGGGGGGGTACCAGGGAAAAATCTCAGGGCCTTCCTCTTGCCAGGCAGGTGTGGCACCACTGAGCTACATCCCCAGCCCTGTAGCACCATCTCTTAAACCAAGATGCAACTGTATAAATGGACTGAACTACTATGTTAGTCAGCTTTCTCATACTGTATTAAATACCTGAGATAATCAGTTTATAAAGACAAAATGTTTACGTGGCTCTAGTTTTGGAGGTTTCAAAACATAATCAATTGGCTCTGTTACTGGTTGGTGCAGGTTCTTACCCACTGGTAATGGAAATTAAAGCTGAGGCATGAATTTGCAAGCAAAAGGCATTAATGGGAAAATGAAGTTCAAGGGTAGGAGGCAGCTCTGACAAAGATCAAGCCACTCACTAACAGGAACGTAGAAGAAAATAGGGAAGGGGATTCAGTCTGAGGAACTGAAAGGGACACAGGTCTGAAGAGGAGGATCAGACTGGCATGACAACAAAAGAGCAGGGACCAATTTTACGTTATGTTGTGCTGTGACAGTCTTGGTCTGGTTGATCCATCGGCTCAATCCTGGTTTCATTTCTTAGATCCAGAGGACTCCATATGGCTTAAGGAGAAATTTGGTTTCCATTAGGTGATTTTTTTTCTCATCTGGAACAGTGATCTAATCATGGGGTGGTCTGCAAGGCTCTGCTTTTCCTGGATCCCAAGGTAATCACAGGTTTAGGACAATGGCTGGAGACTTCTAGGCCTTGCAGGGGGAGGTGGGTCTGGAACTGGACATTATAAGAACTAGAAATTAGATGTTTCTGAAAATCCTAAAAATTAGTTACTCTTATCTTGTTGTCCTCAGTCTTGAAGAGGGATGAGATAGGATAGGTAAATTTAGGGCTAATAAACTTTATAATACAGACATTCCTTAAGTCAGTGGTGGCAAACTTATGGCACACAGCAGGCTGTTTGCATCATTGAAAACTGTTATTGTGTTTTTCTTTTAAGACAAAAGATGGTAATGTATGAGCTGTTTTTTTCTAAACTAAAATCTCAGTATTCAGGTTTAATTACAGTATTTAATTACAGTGTTACTTTGAGATAAATAAGAGGGTTTTTACCACTAGTCCTACTCCTGTGAAAACTTGAGTGATCATTTCCAGTGTAGAAGGAATTTCTACATTGTACAATTCCATTTCCATATGGAAGCCATCATGAAGTGCTTTTATAGCCTTCCACCATGTCCCTTGGGGAAGGACCAGTTTATTTTATAAGTACCACCAGAGCATCTTTTTAATTTCCCCTTGTCCTAAAGTCCATTTAACTTCCTGGCGAGGATAGAATAGTTTTAATGGTTCCTCAGGAAGTGGGAATAAAACTAGAGTCTTAAGAGGCTGTAAGGTTTCCCTTTTTGCTTCCTTATCAGCCGTTTGATTTTCCAAGGAGACTTCAGACATGTCTCTTTGGTGCCTTTTATAGTGCATGACTGTGATCTGCTTGGGAAAATGCACTGCCTCTAGGAGTTGTAGAATTTCCTGCTTGTGCTTTATAGATGATTGCTTATTACTCAGTAAGTCTTTTTCTTTCCAGGTTGCTTCTTGAGCTTGTAGAAACAGAAAGGCATATTTAGAGCCTGTGTAGCTATTTAACTGCCTTTTCCTACTATCAATGTCTGAGTAAAAGCTATTAAGTCTGTCTTTTGAGCAGAAGTTCCTGGATGAAGAGGTTTAGCTTCAATGTCTTCTTGAAAATGGACAACTGCATAACCTGCTTTTCAGTGTCCTTCTGGGACAAAGCTACTTCCATCAGTGAACCACACTTCCTCAGGGTCTTGGAGGGTCAGATGACTGATGTCCTGCCTGCTTGCATAGGTCTGAGAGATGACTCGTTTACAAGAGAGGCTAACTTCTGGGCCTGTAGGCATCAAAGAGGCAGGATTTAGAGCAGTGAAAATTTTCAGAGATGTCTAAGAGCAAGGCCTGATACTGTTAAGCTGTTCCCCTGTTAACCACAAGTAACTATTTGTCTCCAGAATAGCTTTGATCTGATGGGGAGTCAGTCCTGTCCTGTTCTAGTCTCTGTCCTAAAGTTAACTTTGCAGCTTCCTCTATTAGCATACCTATAGCTGCTACAAGGCAGGGTAGCCATCCAGCAGGCACTCCATCTAATTTTTTGAAAAGTATGCCATTGGGTGGGGTTCTTGTTCTAGCCTTTCTGTCAAGACCCCCAAAGCACTTCTTCTCTTTTCTGATACATAGATGAAGAAAGGTTTTCTTAAATGTGGTATTCTTAGTGCTGGAGCCTGAGTAAAGGCATGTTTTATTTTCCTAAAGACATTATCAGTCCCTTTGGTCCATTCCAGGGGCACAGACTCAGGGTCTTTTACAGCCTCATATAAAGGCTTTGCCATTAGTCCAAAATTAGGTAGTCAAAACCTACAAAAGCCAGCCATTCCCGGGAAATATAAAGCTGTTGTTTGGTAGTGGGAGGCCCAAGATCACACTTAGCCTGGTTCCAGTCCCTAGGCAGCTATTGTTCCCCAGGTGTAAGAACATATCCCAGATATTGAACTTTTTGGAGGGATATCTGAGCCTTTTCCTTGGCGACTTTATACCACTTCTTAGCAAGAAAGTTGAAAGTTTGTATAGTGTTATAGTTGGATAATTCCCAAGTTGGGCTGCAAACTAGAATATCATCTACATACTGTAGGATAGTTCCTCATTTAAGCTCTAGGTTCCTTAAGTCTTTCTCCCATGCCCAAACAAAAAGGTGAGGACTGTCACTAAACCCCTGTGGAGAACTGTTGAAATATATGGGTGTTTTTCTCTTGAAATGCGATTTTCCCATCTAAAGTCAAACAGAAACTGGGAGTCTGGAAGTAGGGGGATGGAAAAATGTGTCTTTTAAATCTAAGACTGGTAACCAATTTAGTGCCCACTGAAATTTGGGAGAAAATTGTACATGGATCTGCCACTAGAGGGTGGTTTGAGATGACAGCCTCCTTAATGAAGTGGAGGTCTTGTAATATCTGATGTTCTCCTGAGGGCTTTACTATAGGGAGAATGAGAGTATTGCAAGCAGACTGACAAGGCTGCAGAAGGTCATATTTGAGAAACTCATCTATTAGAAGCTGGAGGCCTTTACATGCCTCTTTTTTGATTAGATACTGCATTTAGTTAGAAAACCAGCTGGGGTCTTTTAATCTTATAACTACTGGCATTGCTGAATTTGCTCCACCAGGTATCCCATTATACCAATGGTGGTAAACCTATAACACCCGTGTCACAGTGGGCTGTTAGTATCACTGAAAGC